GGGGCGCCGCGGTGCCCTCCCAGGGCACCCACCCCACGGGTGCCTCAGCGAGCCCCCTCGGAGGGGAGGAAGGGGCGCGTTACCCTATCAAGTAGCCCTGCCTGGCGTCCTGCCGCCGGTTCCTCATCAGCGCCTTGTACTCGCCCACGCGCAGCCGCTTCCCCTCCACGATGCAAGTGCGTTTGGGTCGGGGTTTGTACTTATAGTCGGGGTATTTCTCCAGGTGCTGCCGGCTCAGCCGGGCTTGCTCCTCGTAGTAGGGCTGCTTCTCCTGGTTCGTCATGGATTTCCACCGGGAGCCTGCGCAGAGAGGAGCCGCGGGGCATGTTTACACCCCGCCTGCCGTGATGAAACCCAGGCTGGCTCCTGGTTGGAATAGCCACCGCAAGAGTTAATTACTGCTCCTATCATCCCCTGTGCAAACGGCACCTGAATTTGGCACACAGCCGGTGTGAGCGGCTGCACTGATGGGAGCCCCGTGCCGCAAAGGGCTGCCAGCCCTCCCGGCACACCGGGAACAGGTCCCCAGCCCTGACCTTCCCCGGGCACCTCTTGGGCCACGGCTTTCGATCCTCTCCAAGGTATGGCGAGCAGGTGCTGCAGCTAAAATAGGCTGTGCCGGCCTGTGACTCACATTCCCCCACTGGCTGACCTTTATTGTCATCGCCGGCAGCACCCCGGGCAGGAGGGCCAAGCAGGGAACAGCCCAAAGGCTGCGGGGCTGGGAGAGGGGCTCGGGGCCAGGATGGCGGAGAGAAGGGATTAATCCCCTCAGCTCGACACCTGGGAGGCTGCAGCTGGACCAGCATCCAGTTTGGGAGAGAGAAGGACAAGCTGGAGATCCTCAGCATCCTTGGAGATGCTCAACAGTCAACAGCCCTGAGCATCCTGAGGGGACTATGGAGTTAGCCGGGCTTTGAGCAGGGCTTTGGGGTGGTCACCTCCAGAGACACCCCTCCCATCACAGAAATCCTCCTCTGAGTTCCCGTGTGCCCCTTTCCTGGGTGGCCTTCACCGGTTAGCACGGCCCAGCTCCCCCAGGGAACTCCCCCTCCCACAGCTGCACCGTGAGCCAGCTCTCCCAGGTAAACTGAGGCACGGAGGCGTGGAAGCCCCTTAGCCCATGGTGCCCAGGTGTCCTCCACCGGCTCCTTCCCCGTGAGCTCGGCCCCTCACACCAGCTCAGACCCCCATTTCCAGGAGCAGGAGAGCACACAGGAACCGATTCCCTCCTCCCCCCAGCCTGGGTGCATACCGGCTCTGGACCACTCGTCCATCTGCAGGTAGCCACCTGCTAAATTTGCACCCCTCGAGCAGCGAGCAGCTCTGGCTCCCCAGGCAGAACCCCACCAACTATTTAAAGCCACGGACATCTACGGTGACAGCGAGCAGCTCACCGCAAAGCACCCGCTCCCGGAGCCCCTCAGCCACCCCGGTCACGAGAGGTAAAGCAGAGCAGATCCTGCCCACGTGCTCTTTCAAAGGGAAAACCTTGGTGGTTGTTTTGTGTTTTGTTTTAGCTTTTTCTTTGGTTTTTTTGTTTGTTTTTTTTTTGCCTTTAACAAGCAGAGCTGCTAAAACGAGTGCGTGGAGGAGCGAGGTGTGCGTGTCGGTGGTAACCCACGGCGTAGCTGCATCGTGCCGTTGCACGCTCCCTCCCGGCCCTTCCGACCGGCTCACCGGTGACCACATCGCTTGCTCGCTTTTAATAGCGATAGGGCCGTGGGGAAGGGCTGGTGTGACCGAGAGCTGTAGCAGGCCCGCGGCTGCCAGGGCGGGGGGTGGGGGGGGGGTTGAGATGTTGGCTGGATGAGGCTTGCGCTGCTACAGGCACCTCCAAGAGTGATGCTCCAATGAGGGGAGCATCATCCTGGTGGGCATCACCCCTACGTGGGTGGCTGAGGAGGAGCAGAGTGAGCAGCCGGGCTCTCCGTGGGGATGCAGAGGGGGGTCCTGCCCCAGCCCCCCGCCGCCATCCCCGGCACTCACCCAGGATCTTGCTGATGCTGGAGTTGTGCATGTCCGGGAAGGCCTGCAAAATCTTCCTCCTCTCATCCTTCGCCCACACCATGAAGGCGTTCATGGGCCGCTTGATGTGGTTGTTGTTCCTGGACTCGGGGAAGTGCCGTGAGCCTGCGAGGGAAACGCCAGCCGAGGTCAGGAGCCAGAGGAAGGAGCGTGCAGGGGGGGTGTCACACCACGGTGCTCTCGGCCGTCCTTACCGTCCATCTCACAGGTCAACAGAGCCTCATCCAGCCGGTGGGCAGGGGTCTCCTCCATCCGCTCCTTCCC